ATCTTCCTCTAGTCAAGTTCTGATTATCAAACCATCAAGGCTAGGTCAAACAGGTACTATCTGCAAGTTTAGGTGTTCTTGTGTGTCTCACTTCACTTCATATCAGCTGGATGCTTCACTCCCAGCTCTAGCCCTCCATGGCTATGTCCTTGTCCATGGGCAGCCCAGTCTTAATCCTTTTACTGGTTTATCACATCAGATCACATGGGGGATCAGCACTGAACTGCCACATTGCATTGTTACATAACTGTCAAACTACTGAGAATCTTGACCCAGCCAATTTGACACACATTTTGGGGGGACACAATACAATCCATGATACTGATGAAGATCAATGACTACAGCTTCAGTAGAAGGCACAGGGTGTTCAACATTCAGAGACATTTGACTGCTTTGCAAGACCCCATCTTGCTTAGTTTTACATGGGCTGCTGAGAGGAATAATGGTGACATGTGAGATATATGGAAAATCCAGACTTCCTTATGAATATCTCAAGGCAGTGATCTTGAGGATGTGTTATGTGGCAGCATGGGGGCTCATCCCATCCAATCCCCACCCCCTATACACTTTGGGAAGAGGAGAGGCTTAAGTCTAGGGTAGGCACAGAAGGTACAGAGCAGGCGCATCCCTGGCTCATTGAGACAGCCAGCATGGGGAAAGAGCATAGGCTTTGAATGAAAATTCCTGGCTTCAGCCATGAGACCTTGATTGTTGTTAAATGCTGTTGAGTCTGTTGCAACCCTTTATAGGGTTTCCAAGGAACAGCTGGTGAGCTGGAACCACCGACCTTGCAGTTCAAATGACTTGGCAGTCTGATGCATTAGCCCACAGCACCACACCAGGACTCCGAGACCTTGATTGTTGTTAAGTGCTGTTGAGTCAGTTCTGACCCATAACAACCCTGTATAGGGTTTCCGAGGAGCGACTGGTAAGTTTGAACCACCAACCTTGCAGTTCAAGTGGCTTTGCAGTCTGGCGCATTAACCCACAGCACCACACTGGGACTTCTAAGACCATGATTACTCAGCCTCAATTTGGAGACAAATCTTTCGTTTTTCTCTTGATTGCCAAACCAGCCCAGGACCTGAGATAGAACCTGTTTGGACTTTTCCCATTGGCTGAAAAGATATATGGTTTGCCATCTCAGCCTACTCCACAGGCTTCAAAACATGTTTATCCTGAGCCAGGTGGAAAAGGATAGAATATGGGATGTGGGGGAGATGCTCTTCTCGACATAGGATTTTGGATGATACGTTCACTATCAGCTTCTAACTAATCTGACAGATGGCTGGATAGTTGATATATAGATAAATGAATGTTGTTGTTAAGTGTTGGCGAGTCGATTCTGACCCATAGTGACCCTGTATGAGAGAATCAATAAATACATCAATAAGGAAAACAAGCAGATTTGCCAACTGCTCCTGTAGTTGTTGTTAGGTGCCATCAAGTCAGTGCCAACTCATAGCGACCTTATGTACAGCAGAATGAAACACTGCGCGATCCTGGACCATCCTCACTACTGTTGCCATGCTTGAGTCCATCGATGCTGCTACTTGCCTCAATCTTTGTATCCCCGAGCCCAGTTGTTCCACAGTTGTGCTTTCATTATTATTTACCTCTGTCCTATTTAGCCCATTTAAACCTGCCCAGCTATTCTCCCATCAGCCTTGTTTTTCATTTCCCCTTCCCCTTCTAGTGTATGCCCGCCACACCTAGCGCCCAAACTATTCTGTGTCTATTCCCTACCTTGTGCTCTACCTTCCCCACCCTCCCCTCACCCCATCCCTTACACCCCGGTAACCAACAACAAAAAAATTTCCCCCCCTTTTAGTGTGGGTGCTTTTTCTTAATCTTTTACAATAATGGTCCTATGCACTATTTCTCCTTTTGTGAATGACTGATTTCACTCAGCATAATGCCCTCAAGGTTCATCCACCATGTTATGCGGTGGCTTGCAGCTTCCTTATTGTTCTTCATGGTAACATAATATTCCATTGTGTGTATGTACTACAGTTTGTTTATCCATTCTTCCATAGATGGGCACTTAGGCAGTCTCCACCTTTTTGCTATTGTAAATAGTGCTGCTATGAACATTAGTGTACATGTGTCTACTGTGTTATGGCTTGTATTTCTTGTGGGTAAATACCAAGTATTTAATATAAAGTATTCCTATTTTCAGTCTTCTGAGTATGCACCATATTGTTTTCCAGAGTGGTTGGATCATTTTGCAATCCCACCAGCAATGTAGGAGGGTCTCTGTCTCTCCACATCCTCGCCAATATTTATTGTCCTCTACTTTTTTTATCTTTGCTTTTATTGCTGGTTTGAGATGATATCTCATTGTTTTTCAGATTTGCATCTCTCTAAAGGCTAGTGATCGTGAACATTTATTCATGTTTGTTGGCTGCCCTGATCTACTCCTTGGTGAAGTGTCTATTCATTTCCTGTGCCCGTTTTTTAATTGGGTTGTTTGTCCTTTCCTTGTAGAGGTGGTGTAGGTTCCTATATATTTTGGAAATTAGTCCCTTGTCTGTTGTGTCATTGCAAAAGATTTTTTACCATTCTGTGGGCTTCCTTTTTACTATTTTTTTTCACATGCATATTTTATTCATGAGTTTTTAAAAAATGTTTTATTGTGAATTATGTGATAGTTTACATGGGAGAACATTAGCTTTACATTCATCCTATCATATATTGTTTCATTGCCATGGTTACAATCCCCTCCATGCATCATCAACCAACCAAAGGGTATACATTGCAAGCCTGCCCCTTGGTCATCAGCACACAGCCCCTCTCCCTCTTTGGGTCTACAGTCCCCAGCCATTCCCTCTCACCATGTCATCATCTCTGCCTCCATCTCTGGTGTCACTGCTTCTCTGGATAGAGTACCGCAATCCACCCTTCTCCCTTGATGGTCCCAGGGACCTCCTTTTGCTACAAAATGTCTACCTTTACATTTCCAATCCTCACAGTCAGTCCTGATAGCCATTATTCACTATTGTCCCACATGAGAGCAATCCCCATCTCCTTTCATCAGCCTCGCCCAGACAGATTGGATACTACTCAGTGGAGATTCTGCCTTCCTTCATGCCCTCTGGATCTAGGCTCCCTCTTGAAAGCTTGTAAGCCATCACTTCTTGCCTTTGTAGACCCTCGTTTTGTGTAGCCAATATCTACGTTGCCCATCCCTGTCTACCCTGTGTATCAAGGGTGTGGGAATGATCCTTACTGTATAGATTGGTTCCCTCTTTGGAGCTACTGCATCCATAGGTGTAGGTCAAACTCATCAAATTGTATCAGATTACTCTTTTTTTTTTCCTCTTCTTCTAGTTGAATTCTGATCATCAAGCTATTGAAGCCAGATCAAGTGGGTACTATCTGCAAGTGTGGGTGTTATTTTGCATATGCCCTCGCTTCTTATCTGCTGGACGCTTCACTCTCCACTCTAGTCCTCTGTGGCTATGTCACTGACTCTTGGCCCAGGAGTCTCCAGGTCTTGCCACACTGCTGGCCAACCAGGTCTCCAGCTGGGTTCACAGGAGTCTATTGACCGTTGTAGGGCTTAGCTTGCAGTTTCATTGCTGTTTTCCCCTCACTTCCTGTTATCCGTGACGAATGTGGTAACCAGTCAGAGTGTGTATTCCCATTGAGTCTTAGTCTTGGGAGGGGGTTTGCTCTGAGGGGACCTGACCACTTGCCTTGATGTCTCCTGGGCAGGCAACTTGCTTGTTCTTG